CTAATACTCTAGGTTATGTAGGCTTCAGCTACTTAGTTGGCTGCGAAGGCCAGATTATATAACCAATCCAATACAGTAGAATCCATTGAGCGAACTGAACATAAGATTTGCAACCAGCGTGTTACATGACCATTTACAAGGGAATTTCGACGAAGTATGCGATCTTCACTTTTTGGGCAATGTTCAAGACGACGTGATTTCATAAGCCCTTAACTCGATTATTGCTGTAAGTTGGAGCTATGCCACCTAGCCATCTATCTTTCGATGGCACGGTTCCTATTGACTCCAAGCTATAAAGAGGAGGAGGGGCAGGCTGTTATCTAAGGCTGGGTTCATACTGTTTTGGAATTATGCTGCATGCGCTGCAGTCGTCCGCATGCGATTATGAGCGGCGCGAAGTAGCAATTTTTGATTTTCTTCGACGATTTTCATAGTATATTTTGCTTATTTTCGCCTCATTCATCCACCTCGCTTGCTCTCGTGATGAAAGAAGTTCCAGGTTGAGAGGGGTACAAGAGTGAGCACTGTTTCGTTATGTACATCAGGCTGAAAGCTGTCACAACCTGATACCGCTTCCATCCGTGTACGTTTCTCCAAATTCGGAGTTCCTTCATCAGAAACGGAACGGTAATCAAAAACGAACGAGCAAGCAGTATGAGTTGTGAAAAGAAATGGGGCTGAATGGGGCTGAAACGCTCAAGAAACAAATCTTACGAGAAAAACTCGCCATCTCCGCTACTGCAATGATAGTATCAGTCTTTCCTGAAGAGAGCTCGTGATTTCGAGAACATGACGACATACTAAAATTCGTAAAAACAAATTATAGATAATTCACGATGAAGAAGGGACGCGCGAAAAAACACATTTCTAAGCAGGACAAAACATGGAAAAGCTTCATTCTTCAACTTCGCTTCGGTTTCCGAATTCTCTTCTCCATAAGAAGAAGCAAGATGCAAGAAGGACGCGAGAATGGGCAAGATATACAATTTGAAGCCTTTCAAGAAAGTTCAAAACTGCTGATTCGCGCCCCTCAAAACCGCATGCGGGCGGTTGCAGCGCATGCAGCACAGTTCAGTTTCGGAACAGTCCCAGCACAGTGCTGGAAAACAACTAACTGTGCTGGAACTGTTCCGGAACTTCCGGATCAGTATGAACCCAGCCTAAGAAATACACAAAAAGTGCAGGCAGATTTACGAACATTTGTGGCTCAGGTACAGCTACCTTAACATAGACTCTGCACTCTACAGAGATTTCTTTCCGTAAACAGCGTGTTCGGGAGGCTGCATGAGCGGAGGCTTTTTGCAATCCAATATCATCAACATTTTGACCAAAGCCCACCGACGAGCTTTAGAGCGTAAAAACGAGAAAAGAGCAAACAACCCAAACTTTTTGGAAAACATGCTCACAGAGTTAGCTGACCTGCAGATTACAAACATATCTGCTTAGCAAGATAGCTTTGTATGTAAGGTGGGTAAAATCTGCAACGAAGTGATCTTAGAATTTAATAGCCCTTCTATTTCTAAGAAAGTCACTGGCTACTTTTTAGCGCTCGATAATGTACGGGAACAGCACTATCGAATAGCGCTTGCTTTAGTCTACTAAGTGTGATGCGCGCTGCGCTACCTCGTGAAAAGACGTCCGCAGTAAATTTGAGACTAAAAACGAAATATTGAGGACATCTCACATCAAAAGATTCGTCTTGATAATGAGCACAACGCTTCTCGATCCATAATATATTCATTTTGAAGGAAGTTATGACCCTGCGTAGTTTGCGTGATTTGCGTGATTTTGCCCAATACCAGCGATCACCAAATGCCGCAAATGCCTTTTCGCTACCATCTCGGGAATTTCGCACATTCTGTGAGCGGTATTGTACTAAGCTACTCACATCACAAATCGTGGAGGGACAAGAAGAAAATGCATCCTGGAATGATATCCACTAAAGTCCATAATGGAGGAAAATGGACTTTCAAGCCCCATTTTATTCGTTCGCGGTAGAAACTGGTCGGAATCCGCTTTCGCTAGCGTTGTCCAAGAAATTTTATCTCATCGCAACCACGAGGCAAAGCGGTGTGATGAAAATGATTGAACCTACTTGAGCTCTCGCTTGCGAAAGAAACATGTGAAAAGTCCATAAGAATGGGGTAAAATGAAATTTACCTCCATTTTAAATGGACTTGAAAGCCCATTTTACTCCCAGCAGCAAGTTGAGCTGGGACTAAGCCCATTTTTGACTTTTTTGCACATTTTTGATTGCGATTTTTTGAGAGTGTGTTTCTTAGCCTATTTTGAGGTAACAAGTGTGTGGAAAAAATTTTATCTTTTACTAGAATGGCTTACCCGGCTCCGCCCGGCCCTGCCAATAATATATTTGTAATCAGCATGCTCGATTACCCCCCTGTGCCAACTCCCAGCTCTGTAGCTCAAATTTTGCAAAAAATCGATAAAATCGATATCGATCGATGACGAAAAGTAGCCTATGACACCCGCCGGGGCCCGAAGTGTATGTGTGCCAAGTTTGGTCCGAATCGGTTCAGAAATGAAATTTCTATCCGGAACATACGTACAGACAGACACACAGACAAACAGACATTCAGCTTTATATATAAGATGAAGTTTGAAATGAGTGTTTCTTTACAAATGCTATAAAAATTATGGAAGAAGGGTAAATCACCAAAGTATTCGCCAACAAACTCAAATTTTTCCAAATATCATTTCTACGTAAGTCAGATAAAGTTTGTTAACTCTTCAAATCATCAACCAAAACTAAATTTATTATTTGTGTTCAAAGATAAAAAAGATTTGCGCTTCAATACAATCACTCAGAAGCTATCTTTTGACTAATCTCATAGAACCGAATCTTGATGATGGCATCTCAAGCGCTTTGAGTTGGTCGCAAGAATTAATGAAGTGCCGCTAGCTATCAAGAAAAAATCGGTGAAATATTTCTTACTAGCAATAGTCCATACATTCAACTACTTAGAGATATAAACATTAATGCTGAAAGACAAAGAAAAGCTAAAGTAGAACATTTGCAAAGCATCTCTTGCAGGCTCGTAGTTTTCGACTAAAAAAACCCTTTGGGTTGTAGTGTAGTACAAGGTTTCCTAAGAGATAAGCATTTTGACTCACAGATTGCAGTGCCAGATTCTTAGAAGCCTTGAAAAGCGAAGGCCCGGAATACAAGAATTTTAGTTTTGGAATTAGTTTAGATGGTCATCGATAATAAATGGTTTTTTGTGAGGTGTAACGTTGTGGGAAAATACAATATCTACTTGACTGACATTGCAGTGTTCGGTGAGCCTAGTCAGATATCAACCACTTGGTGAAAATGAGCAAGAGTGAGTAAACAGATTGAGGCAAGTTGGAGAAAGGTTTGCTGAGGAAATTTTGATGGAATGAATGGATTCGCGAATGCGATATCTTATCGCACTGCATGGACTGAGTCCAATTTATTCACACGAAGAGCCCATTCGCGGAGACTTCCGTGGATATCATTCCTGAAGTGACAAGCTCTATAAGCAGCAATATTCTTACAAATGTAAGCTGAGTAATATCTCACAGAAGGAAGTTTGCCAACATATTTTACTATCATTTGCTATGATTTACTGTGAGCCAAAGCCACTATTTGAGCACTAAGTTAAAGCAAATTTAGCAGAATATGCTCAAACAATGTCACTCCTTTCCAGAGAGTCATATAAAGTGTTCTCACAGAGATTCCGTGATAATTCTTTCGTATCAGAACATGGGCTTACAGCACTACTTCATTTCTTCGGGTCACTCAGAGCGGCATAGCGGTCATCTGAGCTAAAGCCAATGCATTCTACATCATTTCGGACTTCAGAATTCAAAGGAGATCAACTGCCATAATCTTAAAAACGTGGGAAAGATCGATGTGACCTCGACGGACTGTTGAAACAATGGGAATTTCAGACAACAGTTGCCCGTAAGAAACTGGAGTGGATGCTTCGCGAATCAAAATACCTTAGGGGACAGACTGAGGTGGTAATATGATTCTGGATCTCGGTTATGAATTCAAGAAACTTTTCACCTCGCTCTCATGACAGGATCCCGATTGAACCTGTGATGTGACTTGTAGGCCAAAACGGATATTCCGGTGATTCAAAGGTAAGCGGTAAAGTAGGTATTTCCCGACACCAGATTCCTACGTTATTTTATTCCTTTGCAAGCTCTTTCTGTGACCAGCAGATCACAGTAAACTCAAAGCTTGTGGTGGTCTACTGAATCAAATTTTTGACGACCTCACCATGCATCTCTGCTTTTTGTGTGCAAGATTTATGTTTAGGGCTGCTCGACTTGCATGCCTTGAGAGAGACTTGGACATTGATGTTAAAACAGTCCTTGTGCTCATGTGATAAATATGCCGTCCTGGTAAATATACATTTTCTGAGAATTCCGCCAAGTCGAGAGGACATAAGACTTACGCTTGATTTATGTTGCATATAAATCTAGTGTACCAGCTGATACGATTATATTGTATGCTTGGTAACCACTGTCGTTACGAAAAACACAGTGATTAAGCACAGTAATGGCACCATAAGAGCTGAGGGCATTATAATGTCACTGCTACTAAGTTCATGTCATTAGGAATAATATCTGATCGCATATATAACGGTGATTATTTCGAGAAGTTCAATATCACCGTAGGACTACAGAGGCTTACGTCCTAATACTATAAATGTTCAGAAAATTCTGAGTGGGATGATTTTGGATGGTAGGAAAAATTTGGGACGATCATGACATTTTCATTCTTCCTCTTCTTTTTGATACTGCCCAATCCGTCTTTGCGTAGAGCCCATCTACGGCGCCATTTCACGGACGATATAATCTAATCTAAGTAAATAATGCCTCTTTCTAAACCAATCTTTTCTAAGTCTCCATAATTCAACTTTGATGGAAAATCACAGCTTCCATCTTCGTAAGTTTTGAGAAATGGTGACTGCCATCTATTCAAGTAGAATGATAGAAGCAAATTTATTGTCTAGAGATATCTTCACACTATGGCCCGTACAAGACACAACTGACGAAATAAGTCAGATTCACAGTCTAAGGCAACTAGTTTGGCAACAAAACGAAGTGAATTTAACCGGTTCTATGTTGCATTACGACATTGAAAAGCATCGAATAAATTAATAGTCACATTATTGCTACAAACATCGCAAGAAGAAAGCATTGAAAAACAGATAAAGAATTAATTGAACATAATAGAAGCTCTATTGGCACCTAGTATCCCGACATGGCCGATATGGGAGGCAAATGATAATTTTCTATTATAACATCTAAATGAAGTGAATTCTAAGTTCACTGCATGAGGCACCGTATAAACACTCAATTTTCTGCTATACATACACTCTTTGGTGAGACATGTAACCTGAATACATGACCTGGATGACGTAAGGTGGCAAGATGACGTTTATGACAGAAATATTTGAGCGCTTTATGGGTAAAGGCTTCTTCCAAGGGAGTGGACCGCTATAGGTCATGTCTTCGCAGCTTTGGCGATATGGTTCTAATTTCTTGGAACTGGAGCGCTGATTTATACATCTGAGCATTCCGGATGACTGTCATTCCTTCGAGGACTGAAAAAAAGCAACTTTTACGATTGGAACAGAAATCGAAATGATGGCAGCACATTTAAATCCCCTTTGACAAAAAGAGGTGCTGCTTGAAACCCTATGACTAGATACGTGGGACCACGTTCTGTTGTACAAACAGTTTCTAACTCTTCAAAACACTGAGCACTAATTTTGAACTTTGATCAAATAACCCACATGACTGGTCCATATCGACTAGTGAAAGACTGCTGCCTCATCACATCCTGTAAAGTAGCACAACGGCAAGCCAGCATTTCTCGAAACGGAACGCGAAAATCCTTGTTGTACTTACAGTAGATAGCGGGATTCAAAGTGCTGAAAAACTAAGAAATACCGACAAAAATAACCTCATAAAAAGTTCTTTGCCAATGATGTTGATTCATGGATTTCCCTTCAAGGTATGAGATGTTAGAGTGCTATCAATCGCAATCATCATTTTCCTATGCTAGACTGACAACTGGCTAGCAGTCCTTACTCAGTTTATACCTGCAGCCTTTTTTCTGATAAATGTGAATTTACCTTTATAATTCATACAGAAAGTTTAGACCGCCCCTCCACGGAAATATAGTTATCCTCACATTTATTTTACTAAACCCTAATGGGCATAAGTATAAAAGTACTCGAATGTTGTTTTCGGTTTCAAAAACTATTAATCAACGTGTCGGACAAGTAAGGAGCGCGCGGTGCAAGAACATTACACTATCTCTTGATCTCTAAAAGCTATCTAGTGTGTGCTCTAGCTACTGTCTACTTCTCCATAACAAACAACAGATTTGTAACGCTTCGACTTATATGGGTACCCGAAACCGCCAAACTTGTTCCAAAAAAAGTTGCTGTAAACTTCGCATTCAAGCTCACAGCATACGCCTTGGTTGCATAACAGCAAATCAAGTGAAACCAGAATATCGTGATATGATAATTATTACAGCGTTAATTGTTACGGTAAGATATTGACAGTTTATACGTATACTGTAAGAAGGTCAACTTTACCAAATGTATTTCTTCAAACGGAGTTTACCCAAGCATTTTTTCGAGATCAAATAAGATCTAAACTGCTGAAGGGGAGCGCATTACCTACAAAGATTGAGAATTGTATGAATTAGTTGAAAGCTTTAGTTCTCCTTTTTAACGCATGAGAATGCAAACTTGTGACGTTCACAACTTCATTTGCCATCTTCCTGCTTTCTGTGTGCAGAGCAGTTTGGGGCACTACGATTGATAGGTAATAGTATATACACAATTAGCATTCATTCTATCAGAAACGGTGATCAGATCGCAGCATTTATTCTCCTTATTAGCTGTAACCTATTCGCCCAAATCTTTCCTTGTGATTGCTCCTTACTAGCTTCATTTTCCACTGTCTCAATCATAGCGGTCACTTCAAAAGGATAATCAAGCATTTCAAAAAAGCACCTTGATGAACATTGAATGTTAGGTGTTTCCCCCCTTATTGAATGAGTTTTGTCGCAAATTAGTGGCCCATTTTCGAAATGCGATACCGCAGTTAGGCAATTCGACTTTATTCATGAGTCATACTATATTTAATGTCACCCGGATGCTCTAAAAATTTGCGCTATTGCCCTAATACTACTAGGCACATAGAACAGTAAGTTGTGCAATACTCTTAAAATGGACATTTATCAACCCTTGAAAAGATGTCATCAAATTTTACGCCTATATGCGAAAATAAACGCTTTTAAAGGCCATATGTGTTGGTCGTAAATGGTTTACAAACTGAGTAAGTGCAAGACGTTTACGTCAGACATAACAATGAAATAAGATTGAATAAATTTGTTCCCTCAGTAGTGTAACGCTAAAGAACTCTCCATACTCACAAACAGAAAATGTTTCCCGAATAATTACACTTTTTTGAATTTTAAGCTACATTCATGAATGTTTTCACGTAAGGGGAAAATTGCATCGTTCTAAAATTACTTCTCAACTGAATGATTTCGCTATGACGAAGTGAAGCATTTTAGAAAGAGACAGATGCTTTAATAGATCACTAATAGTACAAAATACGGTCGCAAAAGTCAGACATAATAAGAAATGTATGTGAGGACAATGTACTCGCTATGACTTGAAGTAACGAACGCTGAGCTACTGTCAAGAATAATCACATCAAGATTCTGATGAAAACTATGGAGCATATCCAGGAATCGCAAAATCTCAGGTTTTTACCAATTAGCATCTACTTGAATTATGTAAAATTGTGAAATGGGTGCGAGGTCATCACAGTTAGGACATTTTGAAAACTAATGAGCTAACGAATTTAAGCACGATATTCACTAAACATCTTATTGTTAGTGAAAATCTTGCAGAGATCTAACCCAAGAAGTCTAAAAACACCAGCTAGTCCCCCGTCGATACGAGTGTTTAAAAGTCCATGCCTGTCTACATCAGAGATTTTTACGCTCTACATCACCTCCTATAACTACTTTGATCTTTGAGGGGGATTTTATGACATGAGTAATAAAATTAGGGTAGAAAAGTGCATCGAAAAGGCATTAAGCCCTTACTTCAACATCAATCTTCGAAACGTGGTCCTTCCAGGAGGCTAGACCACCATCTTTGTGTATGTCCAGAGCACAGCATAAACAATCAGATTTCATTAACAGATAAGCTATATATTATTGCAGCAAATTAATTCATGACTAGGAGGCTGCAGAGAAAGGTAAGCAGAAACTAACTAAAGCTCATTCCCCAAAAAGCAATAAAGAGTGTGCGTGCATGATTCTTCATGAAGTAGAGAACCTCTATCGTCCTACTTCTTGTAAAAATTTCACTTTAGTTTCCGTGAAACTGCCGAATCTGTGACAAGCGCTCACTATAGGATCAAACTACCATGTCAGATGAACGTTCCTCTCTAAGCGCTTATATTGTCGCGAAGGAATTATGAGTTATGTATTATAAATCCATAATGAATCTGCTGGAAAATTGTCCTGGCCACGTATATCTTCCAGTTCCTAACTCATCCGAGAAATCGAATTATCCAACAAAAAGCAACTGAGACAGTCGGTTCCAAAAGTTTTTGTGTTAAACCATTTACCTTGTCTCGCATCTCAAATGAAACAGCGCTTCTTTCTTTTCAAAGGAAAAGATGGTCAGAGATAGCAAACTCATGTAAAGTCATCTTTACATTTTACAAGACGTTCAGAGAAATCGCTCTCTAGCATATAAAACACGTATTTTTAGCCAACATATTATTCGCTCCAATTAGCATAAGATTTTTTGTCGTTTTGAACGCTGAGAACTTCTTGTGTACCTAATGACATTAGCGAAATCTTTTTAAATATACTTACACTAAACATATAAAGGCCAAATTTTGAGGGCAAAACGCAGACTCAGACATGCTTCAAAAACAGGAAAAGGAATACATGGAACTTCCAGTCTAAATATAAGTAACTCGGTTTTCGTAAACATGATTGTTATGCAAGCGGCTTTTATATAGCGGGTATTAGATTGACTTCAAAAAATGCACAAGGAGCATAAAAGCAAATTAGTTTTGCACGCTGCATTCATGTCTCCCTACCTAGCAGCACCAAGATCTCTGCTCAAGAAATTTTTTTCGTATTATGACGGCTTATCAACTACGCTCAGCCGTTGGCTTCCTACAAACACTTCTTCGCTTTCGTCCCGTTATGAGGTTATTATGAGAATTTTATGCTACAACAACTTTCATGGGACCAAACTTCATGTCCTTGCAATAACATTCCAAGCACTTGTACTTACTCTCTTCACCATTTCAACGAAATAGGCATGTCCTCAATGGAGAGAACGCTTTGAATAATTTGATTTTCGCGCATAAAAATGAGTTCCTTCTCCAGGTTAGAGGAAGATAAAGGACTAGGCGATAGATGCAATGAGAGGCCGGTGTGAGATGCAAGGATTGGTGCAGGACCCCCCCCCCCCCCGGATCATTTCTCGAATCCCAGTGGCCGTTGCAAAAAGAACCTGACCGGGAGCATTGTCAAGCAGCAGCCGTGCTGCCACGAGTTTTTAGTATAAGCCATAACTCTGCAAGTTATGGCCGCATTACACCGTTCACATGAGATTTCAGAGCTGTGCGCGACGTGCTCATAAAATAAACGACGAAGTGCACCTTGTCTTTTGGGATCAGATTGACATTTCCTTTTGAAGGCAATAAACATTAATCACTCACACTAGCTTGAGCCAGCACTATAGCGGATATGAAAAGCATTGGAGTGAGTAAGTACGAACCTGTTTGAATATCCAAGCCATAGGGTAAACACATCTAACCAATAAGGCACAGGATGGCAAGTTTTCACCAGTGCCAGTATAAAGAACGGCAGCCAACAGATGATAAATACACTCATAATCATTCCCAAGGTCTTTCGAGCTTTGCAATCGTTGCCATCATTTTGTCGAATCTGAAACACATGCATGACAACACTAGTCATAAGCTGACAAATCTTGAGATTTTATGACTTGCACTCCACACTTTTTAGATGAGCTAAAGTGTGAACTTGGTAGGTATATCAACATCTGTTTCCACTATTCATAAGATAGAGGAAGGAACTGATGGCGATATGGTGGTTGGCAATTCCTCTAGTGATTGGAAAGTCGCAGAAGGACCATTTTGCCATTTCAAATTCGAGTGTAGTTCTAACAGCTACAACTCGAGCTTATCCATTCTTACACTTTTGATCAAACCGACCCTCATTTGAACATAGTATATATTGATACTTCATATAAACATGTTTACATCCCATCAAGAAACGTTTTGCATACTTCAAAATGATAAGGACTCGTCGTTTATAGGGCGAATGGCACTTACGTGCACTTGCAGTCCTTTCGGAGCCTATGAATGAGCTCACTGTTAAGAAGTCCATTTATCTTATGAGTTAGCCTCTAGAACTGGCGCAATAATTCTAAAAAAGTGGCTGAATGACCAAGGAGCGCAGATCACATAAAGGAGAATGAAGCACTGTGGGAGGTCTTGCATGGTGATCAAGATTTATCTCAGTGATTTTTAAATGCATACCTAGAAGAATTACTAGAGCCGCAAAAGATCAATCAGGGAGAATGCATACAATTTGCAACTCTGGCTTTTACTCTAAGAAAGTCAGGAAGACAGACAATTTTTTAAACAAGTGATGATGTGCGAAAGACCAATTTTCAACGCTTCCCCTTCAACGTATGTGATGCGTTTTTGAGCTCAGGATATTTCAAAACTCTCATAGAAAAATCCCATAACCTCTTTATCAGCAGATCCCATAACATTTTCTACCATATTGCTTTTTACAAAGTCAGGTGTCTACCGCCCAGTCTGGATCACACAAATGCAAACTTCGACATCTCGTTTTTGCTCAAAAGGCTACAGAATGCGCCTACATAACTCATAGTCCCCTCTTCAGAAAATCGTTTCAGTCAATGGCTTCAATATGCATTTCTCTGAACTTGATATATGATAATGCCTCAGGCATAAATTATGTCAAAGAAAAAAGCACAAAAGGCTTTGGAGGTTTCACGAAAATCAAGTGTTCGGATTTTCGTCGCTGTATGGTTGGACGGTGGTCTAAATTTCCAGACATGTGCCATAAATAATTTTGAGGAAGCACTCAACTTGTCTGACAAATTGTTAAATCGCTCTTTGGTAAAATTTTCTGTATGTGCAGACGAGACGATTAGAGTCCTTGCCACTTATCAAAAGCCAAGTACATGTAATTCCACTTTTTTCTCAGTTTTCTCCTTTCTGATTAGAGCGTTTAGTCTCTTGAACCAAGCGAATGGGGTTCAGTCATTAGTTCACTGCCAGCATAATCGTTTCGTTGCTGGAGTAAAAGGGACTTCTGACAAAGAAACACGTTGCCATCTCTACCTACGCACCCTTTGTGGCCTAAACCCGCCTTCACTGCTAAAGAATGAAATGCGCAACAGTCAAAGGTTAATATTGGGTCAGAAGTACCAATTGAGATTTCTGAAATTGCCGCTGACATTCTGGCGCTAGTATTACGCGCGCGCGCGCGGCCGCCACACTCGACTCAATGGAATCCAGGGTGTTCATTTACACTGATGGACTCCCCTAACGCCACGATTCCCGAGGTTTTTTGGCCGACTGGCCTCGCCGGGGGGACTCGGGTTATTTTAATGGAGCGAAATTCGATCGGTGAGAATCCGAGAGGGCAAGAGTTTACGTTTGCTGTAGGAAACATAACGCGAATGAAGGTTGCTCTTTATTTACAAGTTGGAAAAAAGACGGTCTGGGATTTTGGAATAAGTAAGTTGCCTGCTCTTCGCAACAATGCACTCTTACATGCAGATAAGACTCTTTCACTCTTTTTGGCTGTCAGTGTGCGAACTAAATTTTGTGAAGCTGACACTCACATTGAGAAGTAAAATTTATGGCGCGTATGTAGGTGCCACGCTCAAAAATTTTTCGAGTTATCATCTCAAGAAAATAAGTGCTAAGCATTATTTAGCGATTCAATCAACGCATGTGCTTTATAATGCAGACCAGCCATTATGCAGATGAGCTCCTTCTAGCAAACATATTGGCGTAGACATGGCTTCGAAAGATAAAGCGAAGCCGAATGGACGATCTTGCACCGAACCCCTGCCCGATTTTCAAGGAGAAAAAGCAGAGGAGGAAAAATCTTTGCTGCACCCCTTAGCAACGGCCAAATGGAAAACACTTAACGTGGCCCCTATTCATAAACGCATCTATTCTGAATATGGCGCAGAGCGCGTCGTATTCAAAGGCATAAGCAAGGTCAACTTACCAAAGGCACTTTAACAGCATGTAGTAATGCACTCGGCCGCTGCAGATATCCACGATGGTCATTCTTCACGATTTGTATGGAACTTCGTGACTCCGGTATCATGTCTACATGGTCTTTTGCATTTTTCTCGTCGATCGCATGTGTGTGAGTCGTCTGATCGTGGTCTTTTCGTGCGATTTGATTGGCTGCACGCCAAATCTGCACATACAGTATCAGCATGATGAGTGTTGGTCCATAGAAGGCAATGATTGTCGCATAAATTTGATATGCAAAATGTTGGATGACCTGCAATGAAAGTACGATTAGCGTGGTCTATTCTGAGACAGAAGCTACTTGAAAGGTCAATGGCGTTAAAGTGTTCATTCTAGTATTTGCTCGGTAATTGGACGGACGGTCTGAAGCATTTCATTAAAGCGCATTACTATACCAGGATATGTAGTGGCCAAGAAAAATGAATAAACAAATTGAAATAGTCGAAAAAATATTTGGTCATTCTTATAAGGCAAAAGTGCATGGGAAAACAAGGTTATCTAGCGCCAGTCACCCAAGAATTTCGCAAAAAAGCTTAGACAATTATTTTGCACTACTAGGTCAAACGTTTGTATTTTCGAAAAAAATCTATGTAATTACATAGATTAGAATGGTAATACGCTCCAAATGCTTTGTTTGTATAGAAGTCTGAGCCAAACAGACGATCAGGTTCTCTCCAGGTCTAAAATTAGTGTGAGCAAGATAGAAGAGTAGAAAAGAGTAGCATGATTCTTTTAGTGTAGACAAATTAACATATGATAGTAGAAAAAAGTTCCGGACAATGTAGGTCTGACAGACTCATGACGTCATTGTAAGTAAACACCAGTGCTGATTCTGAGTAGTGCTAGAGCATTAGTCAGCGGTTTCAAGAGCAAATAAATTTATCAAATCAACTCATTAAATCATCTTTATCCTAGCAGCATCCTATCGAAGCGGTTGCAAGGTGCACTAGCTTCACAAACATTATTTTTCGGACTACTCTTGCACTGTGTATTGACGCGAAAGATTTTCTGGCTCTTGATTCAGCGTTCAGTGGCAACAAATAACTTTTCTCTCCAAATTACTAGATACAATTCAGTTTATCGTTTACTACTTTGGTCCAGCCAGCGAGATGTAAAAAAAGCAGTCGTACATTTTCAGTCGTCTCGACTTTGCGAAGAAAAATGGCTTGTCCGGAAAAGCCAAATGGTTTTCTTCGAGTCTGCCTTCGTTGAATGAATAAGGTTAATGCATTAGTAAGAAAACCATTACAAGATGGTTCTAGTGGATAATTTAAATTGCAGTACGGTTGAAAGACAGGAGGATCTGAGCTCTCTCACAAGCAGCCGAAAATCAAAAGTAAGATTGCACTTATAGAACAAGTGAGTAAATGGTATAAGCACTGTTGAATTTAATTTGACTGGAGAAGAGTGAAAATTGAATTTACTTAACCAGCGCGAATGGTAGAACTGGAAGAGAAGATAAATTGACCGTAGAAGTACGTGAATAGTTGACTATCAGAGCTGTTTATGCCATGAGCACTTCCAGACGAATGCGTTTAGCCGAAAGTAGTATTTCATTCAAGGGGAGGGGGGGGGGAGCAGGGGTATAATAGTTGTACACAAAGCCATGATGAAAGCAAGCGGAACCATTTTATAGGCTGCTCATAGCAACCAGTGATCTACACAAAGAATGAGAGCTAAACAAATGTGACAATGTGGAAAGAACTGCTTTAGATGCAAAGAAGCATATAGGAAAGTTGGGCTCGGCACAGGTGGCATCGGGTCAAGCTGGATATCGTTTTCGGGACAAAAAGCAAAGGAGATATCGTTTTTGTGGTTGGCAAGATTTTTTGAGTCGACGTTTCGTTTTTTGGGATTCTTTTACGTATAGTGTTTAGGGCCGGGACTTCGTGCAAAATTTTCAAGATAGAAGGAAACTTCGTTTTGTAATTTTCGGTGCCAGCTCGTGCCGAGTCATGTAGGAAAGACGTGATCCTTCGTTCGCAAAAACATGAATACTTTCTTATTTTTTCCTGTATTGGAGTCGTGAAAACAGCTAAGAACAAACGATCTCCGATTTCAAAGGATGTCAGGAAGTTTTTTCAGCCATGATGATTTGGAGGTAAAAAGTATGTCAATAAATGCAAAATGTACACATCCGTTGGATAGATACAAAAATCACAATGAAATGGTATAAGCTGCCAAAATGCGATCATGATCGATCTTCCCATGGCTTCTTTTAACGGCTTTCTTCGATAAATATGCAGAAATGCATAAGATTACAATAAGGAAGAGAAAAAACTAGCGAAGAACAGAAGTGGCACTTCTTTACGCTGTGTAACTAATATTTATTGTCTTTCGGACGCTTTCACTTTGAACAAAAAGTAGACCTTTTGCATGTTTGTGTGTAATTTTAGCGAGAAAGTGACTCCATATAGATCATGTACACAGGGATAGACAAAGTCGGATGTACAAATATGAATGAGTTGAGTAAATGAGAATATAGATTTGAGAGGCAGAAAAAAATCAAGTTCTTTGATCTGCAGATAAAAGAAGAATTTATAAGGAAGCTGAGTGCCAGAGGGTAAAATCATCATGCTGCACCATATGCATTCACACTTATATATTGCAGCGCAATATTACTATTTACGTAACCTTTCTGCAGTTGCTTTGTCTTCGAAATATGAACGGGGACACATACCTGACAAATCCTACTGTCTGACTCCGAGGTATCGAGCAGATTTGCAATGATATGCGATGATAGGCTAACAACTGCTGCAATTAACCATACAACTGCTACATAGACAAGCATTCTACGTTTCGTTCTCATCGCCGAATATGTCAGAGGCCTTGTGATGACGAGGTAGCGATCCACAGATATTGCACATAGACTCACTATGGAAGCTGTGCAAAGAGTCAGGTCGGCAGTCGTCCATAACTTGCACATCGACCTGAATCACACTTTTGAACAAAAGCAAGTTTTTCCTAAAGAGTATCTTGGCACATAACGCGATCACCGCCCATTCCAAGCTTCTTGTTGGACATCTTCTATGTGTAGTGAAAATAGACGCACTTTCTTTCAGATCTACATCGCAGTAACTTAATTTTCGATTTTACAAAGAAAAAACACGTCTTAGCAGTAAGCGGAGTTTGGATTTGCAGAGAACAAAGGTTTGGCTAGCAGTTGCGAACAGCATTTCTTTTGAGCTGTAGCTGTTTTGAAGTGACTATGCACTCTCGTATGATTTTTTTACGGCTACGTCGAATAGCATAAAAACTGCGAGCACTCGAGCACGTACATGCCGAAAAACATTTGGCAAAAAAAAACAGACTCGAAACAAACATACCTGCCCAGGGGCCATTCAGGGAAAAGCAGATCAACGAGAGCAAGTGGCATCACCAGCATTCCGACGCAAAAGTCAGCAATGGCCAAAGAAACAATGAGGAAGTTGGCGGGTTGTTGGAGTTTCCGCACCAATACGACGGCCAGAAAGACCAGTGCGTTGCCGACCACAGTGACGATGATCATCACCAGGACAAACGCCGCCAGCAACGCTTTCAGAAGCAGCGACGATGAATAGGACGGGACATGTGTTGTCGTCGAATGTTGGTCCTTTTGGTCAAGAGGCCAAGGATCATGTGTCAACGGTAAGATCGTGTACGGGAGTGGTGGCAACGCACGCTCCATCACCACTACTGCTCTAGACATGGGCGGTGCCTACGGTATCGTTGCAGCGCAAGCCCCGAAATAGCCCCCAGCACACGCCCCTTTTACTGAAGACCACATTGACGACTTCAAAATGGATTGCTAGAGGTTGTGTGAAGAGGGGGGGGGGAGAGACGCTGGTGTCTGTGTGTTATGTAGTGAAGGGGCCACCATCTGGCCAGTCAGCCCCTATGATGTGCTCGACAAGTATACTCAGCAAAAAAGTGAGCAGGGAGCTATTTTTGCGCGCTCGACACACTATGGCAAACAATCTAGAAGAGACGAGAATACATTCGAAGTAATTCGCAAATTGTTTACGGTAGACTTTCACCTGCTTGCTGTACGTTTAGATTTACGCTTACACAATATTTTGCGAATCGACTCCTTCGTACATACGAACATAACATTGCCGCAGTGACAATATATTCAACATGATTTTTTTCTTACCAATAGCAGATCGAAATGCAATTTTTTTGAGATACTGATGATACGACAAAATCAACCGTTTTCAAAGGCAGTCAGTCTTATAAATCCTCGAGGAGCAATTCTTCATTTGCTACATACGTGGTCCTCCTGCGAATTCTCTATGCTCAAGATTAAATGAAGGAAAGCTCTCAAAAGGGAAAGGCGGAAAAGGAGGATACCAATGTCTCTAGAAAGCCAATGAATTTTGAAGTAGATGAAACACGCAACAATTTAGGATGTCATATTGGGTTAAACCATGTCGCCATAGCATTTTAAAGCATGATATGTTCTACACTGAACATTCGGAACCATAACTATATTATATAGTCAAGTATGCCTAGATCAAACCACCCTCGCCTTGGTGGGAAACGAATTAGGATGTTTTGTGATAGATGAACCAAGCAAGCGACGAGATGCTAAACAAGAGGGCCGCAGCACTCCATACAACATTGAGTGAATGAACAACATGTGGAGAAACATATGATAACAAATTTTGTTCACTCCACTATCAAGGACCGCTACACCATGTGACCTGTAGTAGCACTTTTCTGTAAACCGTGACCAGACGAGTGCTTGTGAATTTAGATGTGTCCCATGGGACGCAAAAGAAAATATACAGATATGCATCACACACAGTTCTCGTCTCTAAACATGGAGAGTTAACGCAGAAATTTCCAACGGAAGGTATTGACGGCATACGTGCTCATCCGATCCAATATGCAAAAAAAACCGTCATTAAGAGCCATTATGAGATTCACCCCAAAAGTAATCGCAACATTCGACTGTCGTGGCCTTATCAGCACTATTTTCAATTCGAGACCAGTTTTCGCAGTGCAACCGGAAAAGGGGCGCACAAGCGCATTCTCGGATTTCATTTTGAGTTCATGTCGCATGCTATCCTATGACTCCCGCATTTCCTCGCAAGCTGTTAGACCCGTAGCAAATCCTTTGCGATATTCAGATATTCAAACCTGTAGATATTTATTTTTTTATAAACAACATCTCGTTCTGTGACAGGGGAAGACTGGTAAGAAATCTTCCTATATATGAGTGCAGATGACAAGACTTACGAAAACTCTATTCAAATGCAGGGAAAAATTTCATTCACCTATTATACACAGCTAAAAAAACAGTAAAGTAATATTCAATCTTTTAAAACATGGGGCCTATCTAACCAACTAGATGGCTTCAAAAGTCACCGTGGCAGTATGGTCAAAACTTCTACAACTATCCGCCAAATCCTACGTGTCACTAATACGTAGATCTGATGGATGATACGGCAGCATGCGCAACAAGAAGCTGAGCGAGCAGTCTAGTCTCCAAGTAAGCACGGGCATCGGCAAGCCAGTCACGAACGGACAGCGCCGCTTCGCCGCGCAGCAGCTGCGAAATGCGGACCGCTCCATCAAAATCGTTGTGGTCCACATACCATTTAGCGCGGGCAAGAACCTAAAAGCTTAATCTTGTTGGCGATAAGAGCAGAAACATATTCCCCTAATACAAAAAAATTGCTTGCGATACTGAACACTCATGTAATCTACCTATAAGTATAATATGAATGTAGTTTCACCACGTTTTATTTCCTAAAGCTGATAGCTACCTGAACAAATAAAAGTAAGCCATCTCGTTATTGGAGGAAGATTACTTTTATTTATCAAGGCTACTATTGGGTCACCTTTTTATTATTATTTATTTGGATGGAAACGCAAACAGTGGTTGCAAAAAGGTGTTGAAGAGCAATGATCAATTAAAACCTGAATGGTAACAGGCTCATTTTATAAGGAAGTCTGACAAAATTATTTGCAGAAAACACAAGTTGAGGTTTCTCCATTGACGGCATCATGAAAGACCTTAGTCTATTGGAATGCAGAATTATGACAGCAAAAGTAGAATCAAGGCCACGAAAGTGGGATATAGCCTAATGAAAGTAGATAGTACGCCCTCAAAGACAGAGCGTAAATGCAAATGACTAATTAGCTCAAACAGCCATCTTGCAAACGTTATCGTCATGTACGTAAGAGGATAGAAACTTTTTTTTTTTCAAAAAACGTACCTCCAGATTATCAACATGCGCCAAATCGATCATATCATCTTCAGCAAACTTCCGCGGCACATCGAATGACAGCATTGACCGCAGGTAAGACCATATATAAGCTGTTAGTGTACCTCCATTGTCATCGATTCCAGCTGTACGTCGACCAAGTTTGTAAATCTTAAGATGTTAATTGTTGGAAGACAATATATTAAGGTCTGCAAGAATTAGGATTGCAACAACAGATTGTTATCGACAACCTCGCCTGCGAAAGTGCTAACGTGGCAGCTCTTTGAGGGAAAAAAGCTGAAGAGAGACTTGTTTTCAAGCTTTCCGCCAAGAAGTAGCCTTCAAACTAAAACCTCAGAATTGCGGAAGAGAAACTGGTGCCGCACGTCAGCAACTATTTCCTTCTTCCAGTTCAAGATGTGTGCAAACATACAACATTGTGTTTACTTTGTCTAACCAATATGAAAAGCACATCTAAATCCATGTCTCTTTTTCTGAACATTGGTCCGAGATATGGATTATAAAGTACAGCAAAAACGGGCAATTTGAGCAATCAGGAAAATACTTTGGAAGCTATTGATGGTGACCATGACAAGGACTCGGTGGCATGCATTGAGAATAACCAAAACTGCACCGCACTAGCCTTCGATGGGAATTTCTTATGGTTTTTCGTAAAACTGGCAGCAGAACGAAGATGAGATTTTATAAAGCATGTTTCAAATTGCACATTCGATCAAAGACATCTAATGCGGTATAATAGAAAGAGAGGATGAATACGATACAAAAGAAAATAATTAGCCGTTACTATTTGCCTACAGGGACAAGAATAAATGCATATAAAATTTTAAATTTCCTCACCTTCTTAAACCGATTTTTCAAATCCTGCTCGGTATAAACACCTTTCGTTTTCGATTCTTCTGGGAACGCATCAATAAGCGCGTCAACGAAAGCGTCCTTGCATTCGCACTGGAAAAAATTTTTTGAGAAGATAAACAGCTTTAAAGAAGGGCACGCACTAAAAAGAAAACAGGAATAACACGGTCGTTATGTATATAAGCTGACTGCATGGATTTTAAAGATCAGGTATGCGGTGATCATCACATTTTTTGGGTAGGATATTTTATTTGCGAGAGTCGGAAAGTCCAAATAGCTCATAAATTACCAGTAAGTTTGAGTTACTGAGTACTGTCAGAAGGGATTTTGCGCAACGGATAGATAAAAAACTCAAATCATAATCAAGCAACAATTTTTAGCACCAAAGAATTGAACAACTATGCAAGCACCAACTAAAAAACTGCATAAAGCAAGGTTATTAAGCATAAGTACAGAAAATGACAGCTAAACGAACGGAAAACCACCACAACAACCACTAAATGTTCTAAACAACTGAGCCCCTCATTTGTGAAACACTTTCAGCAAAACATTGAAGTACAGAAAAGTGTTTGCCAAAGCGAGTTAAAGCTAAAAGCTTCATGTGTTTGGATAGAATGTCCGAGTCGCAAATTCGATTAACCACAGTCGCTATGGAACGACCTACAAAGTAAATCTGGCAAAAACAACGGGAAGGGGGGATATAGTAGGTACGCATCACTATAGCTTATCAAAAAAGAGAAATCGCATTGCAAGTTGTTAATTATATAGCATGAGTAGAAATAAGACCGAAATTATTTGTAAACTAAGGCCCGTATGCACGTACGTCCCCGCTGGGGAGGGGAGGGGAGCTGGATCCCCAGGGGAACGATCCCTTCCGCCGAAGCCCGCCATGACAGAGGGGAGGGGAGCGATCCCCTCCCCTGCACCTAAGCGGGGATGGTGTGAATGGTTACAGAGGTATTGATCGAGCGAACCCCAGTGCATACGGGGTTCGAATGGGGGAGGGGATCCCTTCCCTTCCCTCACTCGAACCCCGTATGCGCGAATTCAACTCAGTAACGCGGGGGAGGGGATCGACATCCCCTGCAACGAAGTAGGGGTTCGATGGTGTAGATCATGCCAGAGACGCGGATATTCTGGTTCTGCTCAGTCATTACCAAGCACTTCGTTCATTTTGATGGAGGATTTTCTTTGAAAGCCGGGTTCTTCTCTCAGCGACCTGTGGCTTGCAATCTGTCTTTCTTTTCTATATTCGCCTCTTGAGAAGAAATCCGAGCAACAATAGCTGCCAATTTCGATTATTTGTAGGAGTTCTTGATCATTCAGGAAATTTGCGCATTTTTCATATAACATAATAGTTTTAACTATATAGGCTGAGTAAACACATTGTAACTTTCATATTTCATGACATATTGCCATTATCTTGTTATTTTAACATAAGCTGCCTTGAAAAAATCTAGAAAGTAGCATATTTGCCTATTTCTGAGTAGAAATCCCCTGGGGAGTGATCCCCTCCCCAGCGTTCCCCTTGTGCATAGCAGGGATGGCTGCTGGGGATCATTCCCCTGGGATAAAGGACGATATGCAGCTGATAGCTACAGCGTTTATGGAGAGCTGGCACAATTTGCAGCTTCTGTTATGTGTTAGAATACTGCTTTGAGCGTCCGCGCGGCACCCCCCCCCCCTTTTCGGCAGCCTAACGTCTTCTACCCATTCCCTTGCAGAGACACATCAACTTCTACAGTTCAACATTTTTACGCTGAAATGGAGCAGCATGAGCGAAAGTGGGCAGCATCCAAGAAAGCATGAACATAATGGGAGTAGAAAAAATCATTTTTAGTGCCCCGAGCGCAGTCACTGCATACGCGCATTCCGCAGCCCTAAATTAATGAAAGTGAGGAGATGAAGATGAGTTGCAGTCAAAATATGAAATAAGAAAGAGTTTTTCATAGAAAATTTGAAAGCAAGGTGATTTCCCCGCTTGATCCCCTCTTGTGCATAAGAGGGTTCACTTCCCCTCCCCACAGGGGATCCCTTGTCCGATATTGTCTTTGTGCATACGGGGGTTTGCGCGGGGAGGGGAAGGGATCCCCAGCGGGGATCATTTCAATGGTTAAGCGCACATCCCCTCCCCGCGGGGATGTACGTGCATACGGGCCTAAGACACCTATCGCCACTGAGGTTCCCATCTTGAGATGCTTGACACACTCGAGGGAATAACGAGGATAATTTAATAAATCCGAAAATTTGCCATTTGCGATAGAACTTTATGTGCCCCTTTATGAATCCCTCACTCTAGTCTCCTGCTCCTGTGGTGACACCTTACATAATCATTGCAGAAGCAGAGTGATATTATTGTCCAAATTTCGAGAACGTTGTTTTTCTCGACTTTTGCGAATAACTTTTCAAGCAGGTGAGACATCCTAGAGTTCTACAGTCTAAATGATTCATTGCTGTTCTTTGTCTCGATCTGGAAACTCGAAGAATGGTAGTGTTTCTTGGAATGAATGCAGACATGACAGTCTCAAAAAAGACATTTCATTTTTTCATCGATTAATTTTCATGCATCTCATTCGTATAACTACCGCAAATTGCAGATGACAAATTAAAGAAGTTGTTCTAATGATTAAAAATTGAGAGAGCAAGTGTTACGATTCCTGCGTAAATGGCATTGAACCAGAGCCCGAATGATGATTCATGCAGTTATCCAGATAAACAAATAACGTTATCAGTGATCAGTGTCAAGACTCCGCACCACAATCCTGAATCCTTCTACAAGAAACTTCTTGGATTGAATCAAATAGTGATTTCGAGAGTATATACTAGGCTGTTGCATAAGTTCTGTCCGATTTGAATTTTTGAGTTTAAAATGTCATAACTTCTTTCAGAGTCAACTTTTTTCCAAGGTCTTAGTTTCTATGTGTTGAGCAGTCCCTTGGCTAAAAAATGCATATTGAGATCTGCGCAAATCTTTGTTAAGGAAGAACCAAAAATGCAAAAACTTCGCAGCGTTTTTCTTCGAATCTGTCTTTTTTGACATGGTAACGCTCCCTTATGAAAATTGATAGGCATCTTTTCTAATAGTGGATGGATAGAGAAATTTTCGTAGATTATTATGCAACATAAAAGAGCCCATAGGGTTTGCGCTGCCGAGAGATTTTTTTTGACCAAACAAAAAATTAGCCACTTTTTGACCTCGCTTCAGCACATGTGTGCATGCCTATTTATGAACTACGAACGTTTTACAACTGACGTGAGCGCCGAAAAGGAATTGGTGGATGGGCCCTGTTAGCTCTTGCTTTGCCCTAGCACCTCCAACTTTGAGCTTGTCGATTACTTCTATTCGCAGAAAGTTATTGCTTGTAAAACATCTATACCAAAGATTTATGTTCGAGGATAAATTTCACTAGCAAGACGTATTCTTCATGGGACCGAACTTCTGCATATACTAGCATTCCATACCCTTATTCCGAAGCCAATGAAAGAACCTGACTTGAAGAGGGATAGAACGTACCTCGGCCACTTACAAGGAAAGGATACTTGGTGACCATGGCCTTTTGAAATGAAACGTACACCATTGAATGCATCTTGAAGCGCTGCTTCCAAATCTGTTTTCACTATCTGCTGTGTGCTTTTCCGAAAGAAGTTGTGAACATTTCTTGCCACAAAAATCTGCACTGTTTTTGATGCAGGATTCACCATTATCGTTAGAATGTTCGCTTATGCACTACAAAAGAGCGTCAAAATGAGGTAAAGTTTCACGTTAAGCTCATGAAAACTGTCTCCGATATATCAGAGCCTAAAAAGCCTGGATATTGACAATTCTGACTGCCTAAACCTTACAAAATCAACATGAAAAAAGTCCATAATTTCGTCAGAGGCTCGCGCAGCAGATAGTGAACATAGATTTAGAATCAGCGTTCCAAGATGCACCTACTGGTATACATCTCATTGCAAAAGGCCGCGGTCACCAAGTATCCTTCCCTCGTTAGAGATTTTAGGCCTGTGATCTCCGTACACTAAGAATTTTATTGAATTCTGGTATGCTTTAGAAAGCGCAAGGAAAGCACTTTTCAATGATACCAACCGTATCGAATTAGAGATGAAATTCTCTTAGAACAGCTGCTTCAAACATGAGGCAAAAAAATCGGACAGAACTTATGCAACAGCCTAGTACGTGTTATAAGGTGTCAAGACTCCGCAATACAATCCTAAATCTTTCTACCAGAAATTTCTGAGAATAATCAAATCAAATGGTGATTTCGAGAAAATATACGTGCTATAAGGCCGACCATATCACAACGACAAGTACATGACAAGTACAGTAAGTAGTTGTGATAAAGAGTGTTCTGGAATTCGAGTTCAGTCAAGGCAGCGGATAGCCGGCAATCAATGGATCAACAAGCTTGCAACAAATGGAACTATCGATGATGCGCTAACCTCATTAGCTTCTATTGTGGGGATCCGAACATATACACAACGAGTGAAGTCAGTGATACTAGGCCTCAAAAGGGAAGAAACGTTTATCTTAGGACTGCAGTGTGCCGTGGAAGAACATGTGCGGAAATTCAAAGCAGGATACCTGTATCAATGTAAACAAATTGGTCTAATAAAGGTACGAGAAAACGGCGACCAATGAAGGCGTGGCACACGGCAATTTACGATACAAAAGTGATCAATTGAAAAGAAACCTCATATAAAGTAATGGGGCAAAAAAATTGCAAAGAATATAGAATACAGCGCCTAAAACCTTACACAGCGCAGATATTGGAAATCGGAAGTCACTCTTCTATTGCAGTCAGAGGAGAACTCTAAATGCACGAAACGCCAGTCTTTGCAGTGAATGCAATCTTTCATGGCAATGTGACATGGTTAGTTAAGAGGAACTTATCCTTTCAAAAACATCTCCTAGAACTCATCTGAAGAAGTCCACCCAATCTTTCTCAAAAATAAGACAAATTTTGTGAATTTCATGGTGAGAGGTATCAAATGACTGAGCATCGTAGTAGATAAATAGCTTCTATGACATCTCTCAAAATTACTTCGCAGTCAAGCATTAGATTTTGAAATAAGCCAAACAATTTCAGCATAGTGCGCTAGAGCAAAGATATCAACCCAATAAAACAATCGTCTGTTGTAAATCAACTCACAACTTACTGTGTTAGCGGATGACCGAAACAATAAGAAAAGTTAATCTGAGAAAAAAGCTAAGCAAATCAGAAAGGAATAAGTAAAACGAAGTAGAAAGATGTGAAACAAAGCTTATTGTGCATTTTTTGTTGAAAATGCTGCACGCTTGCAGACAGAACCAACTGCTTCGCTTGATGCGAAAAATACTATCAAGTTCCGCGCGCGTGAGACTGGAACGGCGGACGCAGGACTATTTGCAGAGAAAAGTTTTGCGCCCATTGCATTTATAACGAGTAGAAGGCCGACAGGATAGATGTTGCATATACAGAAAAACAAAACAAACAAAATCAAGGCTGAGGCCAAACAGAAGCAATGGCTGTGTATGAACAAGTAGAACGGCTGATATAAAACAAAATAAATACCTGCTTCAAAAGCGACAACGACTCTTGCAAAGGATGTCGTCGTTGCTCCATATCCTCACCAGCTTTGTTGCCATGCTTGATGGTTTCAATCAAATTATGGCAAGCAATCCAGAATTGCTTTGCACGACGATTTTCCGAGTCCTAGATTCATAACAAAATCAACCTATCCACATCAATCAAATTCAACCTTACCAAAGCAACTCTGCTACTGAGCGCTGACTCAATGCCTTCCAAACGGCTTAAAGCAGCACCAACTTGTCGACTGTGAAGATTACGCTCTAACTTGACGGCCTGAAAGCAGAAGCGAATGGCATACAGAATGGAGCATCTCAAAATGCTTGTGTGGATCACGACAGCAGCATTGTGTTGGTTAACGAGAAGCTATGGAGTGGAGAGAAAGAGGATAGCGCTTTGTACAACGGATGAAGTACACAACAACTACAGGAAACTACGTCAAAATTCAGTCACTCATAAACATAGGCTGTCCCAATGAGAGTGTCGAGCTCTAGTGGCCGAGCCGCTAGAGCTGGACAGTCTCTTTAAAACTGCCCAAACAAGATGGAGTGCGTGTACCCATTGCACAGTCGAGACTCGACCGCAGGACCGGCCAAAAATAAGCAGTACGCGACGCCTGGCAGAAAAGTCACGTACTTGTACAATGGCGAAAAGTGTACAAGCGTTCCGCCGTGCGCCGTGTGCTCCGCAATGTAATTCAGACGTGCCGACGACGGTCTAACAATAAGTGTGCGTGCAAAAAACTTCATTTCCGACTCAATCAGTATCGAACTTTGAACACAGTCTAGGGAATAGCGCGTGTCATAAGTACTTTTATTTCCTATCAATACCGATTTTCTCAATTATTTGGCAAACTTTGAGCTAAGGAGCTGTGTCTAAACATGGGAGGAGAGGGATTGTCAGCATACTCGCTGTGAAATCAGCAAACCTATACAGAGCATCGCTCGCTTTTATCAGTTTCGTGGCAAGCACTGTGCTACGGAACTGGAAGTTGGTGTATGGGGAGACGCGCACACCCTTTGCATCCAGTGGAAATCAGTAACACCAATTCTTCACAAACTCCAAGCTAAGGAGCTAAGCAGGGGGCTAAAGGGGCTTGAGGGCTAAGCAAACATCGATACAAAAAAGCATTTTTGGCAAAGAAGCAGATGCTGACGAGTAAAAGTGGACAAAACAAGATGGTGCGCATTACCCCATTTTACTGTCTGGTACCGGACGAGCCCGACATGCCACCTAGTCAGTTCTAAACATGCCTCACCTCCTCTAACTTTTGATTGTGCTCAATTTCGAATAGTTGTCGTTGAGTGCGTATGACCTGCTCAAGATGCTCGGAATGTGCAGCTGCAGTCCTTTTCAGCTGCTCCTCCATCTCAGTTTCCCAAGTTGAGCGGTTTTTCGAAATCTGAATGTCAAAAACTTTCTCATTCTAGCCGTGGAGGAGGAAACCAAAGTTGTAGTAGTTAGTAGGCGCATACTCATTGGTGTTAATAATCAACTTTAACGTTATAGCAAGCAAAGAACTCTCAAACTAACCGCTTTTTCGATGGCAACGTCCTGTTGCTGCTGTATTCGTTTCAATTCTATTCTAAGTCGTTCCGCAGCTATACGTTCATCAGCTTCACGTTGTTCTGCAATGGCGCAAGCAATATGCTGCTCCTCTCGCGCCTTAAAACTTTTTATACCCAAAAGCTTCAATTCTGAATGCTTTTGTGCTAAAAACTCACTTGTTGATCCGAAAGTTGCCTTCTCAAATGATCAACTTTCAGATGAGCGTGGGCGATGAGTGCGTTCAGTTCATCTTCGGTCAGATTTTTATCCTAAAGCACATCCTGTTGCTGAAGGAAAACCGGGAATGAATTTGATACCTTCGCATTCACATCAACGTTAGGAAGAATACTTCGCATTTCTAGAGCAAACTGCTGACGACTTCGCTCAATCAGGTCCTTATACTGGTTCAAAATGGTTGATTCTTGGCGTGCCTGAATGAACAGATTTGTACGATACAAAGTTCCGCTTAAGAAGATGAAGTGCTGAGATACCTTGGATACGAGACCATTCAGCTCGTCCAACTGGTGAGATAATTTATTTGCAGTTTCCATCGCATTTATAAGGAGAGCATTGTTAGCCGTAGATGGATCACTTTTACCTTGACTGATGACCTAGAGGTGTTAAATGTTCAAATCGTTGCAAAACTGAAGCAGAAACGGTTTACCTTTTTTAAGTTATCAATATAGTTTCTTCCATCAGCTTCGGCCACACTATCTTTGTGAGCTAGAGACTCAGCATGTTGAAGAGCAGACGTCACCTTCAAAGAGAAGTAATGAGAAAAGCAGTGAGCATGCACCAGCCTTCAAAATTCTGTTTTCATACTTCTTCATATAGTGAGGTAGTTGCAGATGACAAGTTTTTACCTTCTCCCAATCAGCTTTCTGTGGATCGTCCACAGTTGCTTTGACTAGATGAGCATGATCGTTGATAGCATTGATAGTCATCACTTTGGCGTCCGTTGCATCCCGAACTTTAGCTTCAGCAGACTTGATGGCAGCCATCAAAGACTTTTCAAGCTCTAAAGATCAATTTAACTCCAATAGATGATGAAGAAATAACTGCATACGTCTACTTCTAGCCGCAGCCATCTCCGGCGTTGGCCTTCCTGACGGAGTTTCCTGAGGCGGATTCAAGTCGACAGGGTCAACGTGGACTGGTGGCTTCCTCTTGAGCTCCGGCAAAGGAAGTCTCGCAAGTGGAGGCAACACCTAGTTGATTGATAGAGTGTAGCAACCTCGTGACAGTGAAGCTACCTACCTCATCCTCAGATTTCTTTTTAGGCATCACACTAACAACTTGTTCCTTCACTTGTTCTTTCAAGTCGACCAAATGCTGCTTTGCTTTTCTGAACATCAAAAGATCAAGTGAACAAAAATCAAAACCATAGGTACGTATGAGACAAAAAGCTAACGAAAATGTGGGCGATCCTAGAATTGAATCAAGAGCAGGCTTGACTTGGGGCATCGTATCTTCCATCTAAAAAAGGCACTTTTGTGAGTAAAGCAACAAAAACAACCGCGCATATTTTCACTACAAGAAGAAAATAATGCAGACTTTTCATGACCAAGCTTACTAGCTATCTAGGAAATTATTCTTTCTGAACTTTTCGATTTCGAATTAGCATAGATTTATGCAAAAAGAATGAGATGGCAATGCGTAAGAGCAACGTTCATGTCAGTTGTTGACAATGAGTTAACGCGACTGCTTTCGCGTGTTTGAAGGTGAACTTCAAAACGGCTCACACCCATCAACGTTGCATAGTTTCCATAAAATAAGCAGTAGGAAAAAACCTTGTGCCTGAATTCAGGATCCATGTAGGCATAGCCGACAACACCGCTAGCGCCGACCGCCAAAGCACCAGCCGCTAGAGCTAGCTTACGGCCACCGGATCTCCTGGAAACTCTTCAAATAAAACAGATGGTTGCACTAGACAAAGAATTTCCAGATAATGAAAAGACAGTGAAAGAAACATCAAACACACTTTTTGGCAGGTTTTGGCACATGAGGGGGAGGTGGAGGTGGAGGTGGCGCTGTTACAGGCTGTGTGGCTGCGCTGCGAATGCCTTTTAGGCCCTGCTCGAGAGACTTCCTCTAAAAATCGAGAATAGTTATCTACTACTTAGAAAGTTACTTAGGAAGAAATGAGCAGAAACTCACGGTGGCAGCGCGAAGCATTTTGTATCGAACCCGCTCCAAAAGAGCAGGAGCCACCGCAAAGAGTGAAGAAACCTGTCAAGAATCTCGTTGTAATGTTCAAAACCCGTCAAAATGAAGGATATACAAGAACATCGATGATCAATGAATGGAAGAAAAACGAATGCGTGAGAAGAAACAAAATATGTACGATTAGAGGAGACAATTCCCGAGCGATCCGCTTCAAAACGATGTGTAAAATCAAATGCGCCTTCTTCCAATACACCAAGCACCCCAATTGACGCCTAGCCTTAGATATAGGCATTCTGTTGGGTGTATATCCCGAATTCACTACATTCACACAGATATGCTTGCGGGGATGTGCAGTATTATGAGTTGTTTTATTCCAATAGTAGACTGGCCAAGGTAATCTTAACATTCAATAACATACTATTGCAGTATGTGGTCGACTTCGGTAACCTTTGATTCAACTGGTTTGGCGGCTGGAAGGCGGGGCTTCAACGCCGACAACCCCGACAACCTCGACAACCGTTGCCGGAAACCTACGGCCGTTCCCAAATCAAAGGTATAGGCGCCGTAAAACCTAACTGCCCGCGCCGTGCCTTGAACACCAGCGTAAGCGAGCGGTCGTCGCGAACGACTTTTGGCGTTCACTATATTCCAAGAAATCTTTCTTTAGTTTTCATGTTGTTCTCGTCAATGCAAGGTATATCTTGACGAAAGCTCCCTTCAAACTTTAAAAAAAACTAGCGACCCTACGGGTCGCTAGCAGGTGGGTCAGGGCAGATACAATATAAGGGCTTAGCTGTGACTAAAAATATTTCTGAATAAGTTTCCTGTTCTTTTCCTGAGAACATTTTTGCGAAGAGGATTCTACAGAAGGAAAACTGTTCGAAGAAGCGATAATCTCCACAAATCATTCAGCATTTCTCGAAATTCCTGCTACAACCATGCATGATATTATTCTTATCTCGTTTACACGCTCTTTATGCAACTCCCCTCCTCACAGAGACATTCAGATACCCCCCCCCCCCACTTTTCTACCCTCTCAAAGAGAATTTGCTCTTTCAGTTCTTCTCAGCAAGTTCCATAAAAGATTGTTAAGTAAGTAGCAGAACATCTATCGTTTTGGAAGTAGAAATACCCCATAAGAATTAGTGTACTACAAAAAACACTTTTCTTTCAGAATCAAATCCGACAGCAACGAAATCAATCGTCTAACAAGGAAAGGATGATTGGTCGAAGTGGCCTTTTGAGATGAGTTGTATACCATGTTAGAGAACATAAAACGCTAATTCCAAATCTGTCTTCCTTATCTGCGGCGCGTTTCTGCACGAGAAGTTATGAGCGTTTATTGGAGAAAAAATCGAGTGTGCAAATAATACAGAAACAGTAGTAACATTTTTCATAGCGCTTAAATGGACCAGTGACAATATTTTCAGCACTCTATAAAATAAATTCTCTTAGATGAGATATATCTGCACTCCGGTTGTCGCATTCAATCGCTGGGAAAACTTTAGCAGCTTTTTTATCCCAAAAAGCATTCATTTGCACCTTTAAACGCTCATAACTCCTCGTCCAGGAATGCGCCGCAGATAAGGAGGACAGATTTGGAACCAGCATTTTACGCCCTCCAACATGGTATACAAATTGTCGCAAAAGGCCACTTCGACTGACCATCCTTCCCTTGTAAGAACTTTGTTAAAGAATCCTTATTTTTTCGCTGAAGGAATATGAAGCTTTACTACAAAAGGGAGCCACCCAAAGACCGTCAATCATAAGAACTGCGCAAACGTACATGAAATTTCTTTCCCTGTCCGATCAAATTGCCCTACGTGCCGCTTGGAGACCGTTCAAAAATTATAAGGACCGCCTCAAACATGCAAAAATCTGTTTCCCTGCCCGATCGAGTTGCCCTAGTGCCGCTTACAGAACCGATAGTAACTATTCAAAAAGAAAGTTTATTCCCTACGTGCCGCTTGAAGAACGTTTAAAAATTATAAAAACTGCCCCAAACATAAAAATTCTGTTTCCCTGCCCGATCGGGTTGCGCTAGGTGCCGCTTACAAACCAATATTATCTATCTAAAAGACAGTTCATGCCCTACGGGCCGCTTGAAGACCGTTTAAAAATTATAAAAACTGCCCCAAACATGCCCGATCGGGTTGCCCTACGTGCCGCTTACAGACCGATTGTAACTATTCAAAAAGAAAGTTTATTTCCTATGTGCCGCTTGAAGACCGTTTAAAAATTATAAGAACTGCCCCAAACATACAAAAATCTGTTTCCCTGCCCGATCGGGTTGCCCTACGTGCCGCTTACAGACCGATAGTAACTATTCAAAAATAAAGTTTATTCCCTACGTGCCGCTTGAAGATCGTTCAAAAATTACAAGAACTGCCCCAAGCATAAAAAATCTGTTTCCCTGCCCGATCGGGTTGCCCTACATGCCGCTTACAAACCAATATTATCTATCTAAAAGACAGTTCATGCCCTACATACGTGCCGCTTGAAGACCGTTTAAAAATTATAAGAACAGCCCCAACATGCAAAAATCTGTTTCTCTGCCCGATCGGGTTTCAACAGACTTTGTATACCAAAAGGTGACAGTTTTCCTCTCTTGCACAGCAAACCTGCAGAGAATACAGTGCCTAAATATCTCTCATCTCAGATCTTAGTAAAATAAAGACAAATTTCCTCACTCATCTTTCGTTTGTTTTGTTAGTTCTTTCAGACGTTCCATTACATCTGCTCATTTGTATCTGCTATTTGTACCTACATGCCGATGTCATATTTGGAGTAAAATTTCTCTGAGTGCTTTCAAGATGCTAAACACCTCACACAGAAGAGTCGAATTTGTAATGAACTCAGTTTTAACTCCGATGTTACCGGGAGTACGCTTGGCAAATTTCTACCTCAAAATTCCCCTCTCCATAGAAACTAAATTTTCGGCGATAACAATCCTATCAGAAGCAAATTTCAAAAAACATAGAAGCACAAGAGAATGATGATCCAACTGCGAGAGCACTTCCGGTCAGATTAGATTCCCCTCTCCATGAGAACCAAATCTTCGGCGATGACAATCTCTTATTGAGAGCAAATTTAAAAGAACATATTCTCGAATGAGAAGAATCCAGAACAACCGTTATTGGAAGAAATTCTAGAATGAACGTGGAAAGAACAGTTCCTATGATGGTCAAACTGCAGACGTGAAAAATAATGACGATATCGATCGAAAACACGCCCGAAATGCCGTTATGCATGTGTGTTGTTTTAGTTGCCATACTTACGAAATTTGGCACCGTTCCAAAGGCTTACAAAAATCTGGCATCGTGCCATTTGACTGACTTCAACTCACCGCTATTGGCAGCAATCCAAAGACAAAGATCAGTGTATTTCATCATAATTTCTCCGTCTGCGGCCTCCTCGTTTGCCATGTTCCACGGGCCAGGGGTGTTAATGGGTAAACAACGATTCCAAATTATATTAAGTAGTGATATGTGTAGAAAGGGTGCGCGCTAATTGTCGCTCGCAAAAAGCCTGTAGCGCTCCGGGACCAAACGTTTCCAGCCGCGCCGCGCGTTGATGTTCAAAGCGACGCATGGGCAATTGGATTTTACGGGGCCTGTAGCTATCAGAGAGGATAATCTCCTGAAGAAGCAGCACGAGGCATCCAGTATTCTTCTAAGGCCTAAAGCATATCACCGAGATTTCAGTCGCTGCGCGATCTGGCACTGCAACACTCTTCATAGCTGGTCGTAAAGCGGTTTGCTTAGGCCAGACTTGCTGCGTTTGTTACAAGTTACGTAATCTACGCGCCCATGCATCTAAGAGCTGCGCATGCTTAATCTGCAGAGATCTGGCAAATCGCCATGTCGCCAATCGCCATGATGTAGCGATTTCGCAAAATCGCTCGAGGTATGCCTCAGGCCTAAAGTGCAAATTTTTAACAAGAAAGACAGCCGGGTGAAGAAAGTACAGGCAGGGGAGCACAGCCAGAAGGCAGCAAAGGCTCGACGCATCTTTTCATGGAAGTACCTAGGGCTAACTAGGGCTCTTCAAACTTCTTCAAGTTCTCAATCAGTTCTTCACACTCTAGATTGCATATATTGGCTCAGCCCATTTTCAATGTCCTGAAAAATTAAGCGTCATCCTCTCAGGACTCAAACGCTAATGATCATAGTACAGGGCTTTTCAACATAAGAGTCACAGCCTCCGCTTGCGCGGCTCCTCCAACGCGGCCGCCTCGCTTAGGCCGCGCGCGGCGTTTGCGGCGCATCGTCCGGGCATTTTGCCAAGCTTCAGTCGATGCGCAGCCTGGTTCATGCGTCGGCAGCATTGATTGAGACCTGGCAAAATGCCCGGACGATGCGCCACGAACGCAGCGCGGACCTAAGCATGGCGGCCGAGCGGGGCGGCTGTGACACTCAGGATGTAAAGCCCTGTATAAATTCCCAAGCAAGGCTTCAGGAAGCAAATAAATAAATTATCAAGTATTAGGTTGTTTGGAGATTAATGCACATTTTTGCAGATTTTCAAATCAATCGTCTTTATGTTAGTACCCCCTTTCGACTATCTTCGCAAGCTCTGAAAACGCTATTCGTACTCTCACTAATATGTTTTGCTTGCGTTGACTTTCTCTGTTGTATCTTGTCTCTCAAGCGTTCAGGGAAGAAGCCGCGAAATAGAAGGTTCTTCTCTATTCTGACCTTAAACTCATTTAGCGAGAAGATACCTCTATAACAATAATAACAATAACAATAACATAGCTAATGGAAGATGCTGAGACGACCTGCAAAATACACACCGAAGCTTTCATCTAACGAATGTGGAAGCAGAGATGTTGAGGTCCAAACATGGTCAGTTGTTTAGGCCCTCCAATGAGCTATAAAGCCTTTTTGTTCAAAGCACAAAAAAAGTTTTCCTATGTGCAGTGAGAGTGAGAACAGAGCTGTCAGCATCTAATTCAGGTGGAGCCTCTCTCTCTTAACTGTTGATGAATCAGTAAAAATCCATGGGACGAGTATACGCGAACTTGCAAGTTGCGAAAGCGTCAGTTGTTCAAACATCGCGAATGCATGACAGGGGGGCTTTTTGCAAAGTTGCTGTGGGTGTACGGTGCAGGACCATGATCTCGAATTTGCTGAAGCTTGCACGAAGGTATTGACTATTCATCCAGCCGTCTGCTGTTTCTCCCAGTTACGTGCTATCTTGATCAGACGCGACGGCGTCCAATCTCTGCGTGCGATGAATTGCCTATACCTACCATGCTCTACCACGAATGTCCGCGGTCACCAAGTATGTTTTCCTTGTTTAAACGATGGAGATTCTAGTGCCCAAATTCAAGGTGATGGCAAACGGTAGTGCAGAGATCAGCCGAGCTCAATCGTGTGCTCAAAATGGCACTTGACTCGTCCTAGATTACAGTCCGTATGCAAATGTGACGTAGGGGTAGGTAAACTCTGTAAACTCTCGTAATTTTGCTGAGGCAGAAAAAACAGCTTGGGCATGAGGTGGTACTTTCCACGGTCCGCAGCCATCTTTTCAAAGCGTCGTGATGAAATACGTGCTTGAGTCGTAAAAAGGTCCTCAAAGCATCTCACCTACCCGTGCTAGGAAAAAATAACACGTATTGATTTAGTTTGGCATGGTTTCTGGAACATTTCGGATGAAGTACGAGAGCATTTGAAATGACCCAAAAGCTCTCCAGCTGGTTTCTGTAAATCAAGTCAGCCAGGATAGAATTCAACTACCCTGAAATTTTACAGATAAGTCCGCTTTTTGGCAAGAAAAATCGATGAAAATGCACCCTCGCACCGCAAAGAATCTTGCAGATAAGTCTTCCTATCACATAAGTCCATCTACAGATAAGTCCGGACTTATCTGACAGTCTTCGGACTTATCTGACAAGATTTCAGGGTACTTGTAATGGAAAGAAAACGGACTTATCTGTAGGGCGGACTTATTTGAAGGGCCTACGTGAGTCAAAAAATTGGACTTATCTGAAGGCGGACTTATCTGTAGACAGACTTATCTGATGGAAGATAACTTACAGGGCCCCTAAATTGCAGAGTCGTTTGCACCAGCGGTCGCGCGACCGCTGGTGCAAACGACTCTGCAGTTTGGGAGCCCTGTATCTGTGAGATTTTAGGGTAGCTGCGTTAAGTACCCTCTGTCGCTTTCGCGCTCAGATGCTGGAATCCTAGACTAGAACTCTTCTCTTAAGCAATTTAACACATTCACGACAAGGCCAACTTTTCGATCACTGCTTTCGGACCAGGGCCTTTTTTTTCAAATTTACGACCCACCCGTGGGGTCGTATTGTTCGAAATGGTAATCTATATGGAAAAACGGATTCCCTCATAGCCACGGATCTCCCTCATAGAGGGATCACAGCCGGTTAGTCGCGAGGCTACGTGGGGCGTCCCCAGGTGGCGGATAGGGGGATAATCGCCGACCAAAAGCGACCCCGCGCCTGCTCTGATAAGCAAGCGGAGCCGGGGGACGGACTCCCTGCCTCCACTAAAAGCTTGCGCCCTAATTTCCCGGGTAGGTGTGTGGGGAGGCGAGTTCGGAGTCGCCTCCAACAAATAAGCTCCGATCGTCCCTCGCGGGGGTTTTGAGCCCAACAAGCTATCCCTGCGAGTAAATTCTTGTTCGACACAGTGATAATATGGAAAGCTCCTTTAATCTTGGAAGAGCCACTGGTAAGGCAGCGTCAGTGGGGACAAGGTTTGAAAGGCGATCTAGGCTGCCGAAAACGAGACGGACTATGATGACGATCTGTACTTACAACGCGAGGACGCTGGCATCGGACGCATCTATCGAAGATCTCATGATGCAAGCAAGGAAGATTAAGTACGACGTCATCGGACTGACCGAGACAAGGAGGCACCACCCGCTGAACGCCACATTTGAGACTGGAGAAGAACTGTTTCTGGGAACATGCGACAGTCGAGGAGTAGGTGGAGTGGGAGTCCTTGTCAACACGAGTTTGGCCATGAACATCGATTCGTTCGAACAACTTACAACTCGAATCGGACGTTTGCGAATATCAAGATGTGGATCAATCCCTGCCTTGACCGTCTTCATTGCGTACGCCCCAACATCCAGCTACGACGAGGACGAACTCGAGGAATTTTATATGGACTTGGAGAAGTTCTACAGAGAAGATCATACCTTCTACAAGATCATCGTCGGTGATTTCAACGCGAAGATCGGAACTAGAAGGTCGACTGAGGAACTTCACATCGGAACCCATGGTTTGCAGTGGAACGAACAAGGGGAGAGACTGTCCGAGTTTATCATGACGACGAGGACTATCCATAGAAACTCACAGTTCCAAAAGCCCTCTTCCCTACTCTGGACCTGGGAATCGCCCGGTGGAGAGTACCATAACGAGATTGACCACATCATCGTCAACAGAAGGTACTGCCTGACGGACGTCGCTGTTGTTCCGAAGTTCTACACGGGATCAGACCATCGTCTCCTGCGCGCCAAATTCTACTTTCCGCGGAATGGAGAGAGAGCCGTCAAGTTCAGGAAACATCGTCCCATGAATACCACCAACTGGGATCTGTTTTCTTCGATATCCGGCTCATGGCGAGATACCGTGATGGACAACATCGACGAAGAATACGAACGGTTCGTACAACATCTCCACGGTTGTGCCAAGGAAGCTCAGAGTCTAAGAAGTACGAGAAGGCGTCTCACCACGGGGACTTTGGAGCTGATACGCCAACGTGGACGCGCACGAGCCACAGACAACTACCGACTGACGTCCGAGCTTGCGAAACGATGCAGAGAAGCGATAAAAGAAGACCTTAAGGAGAGAAGAGTAGCAGTGATGGTTGACGCCGCGGAGGCTGGAAGAAGTATACGCAACGCCCGCCGAAGCTTCGTCAACTTCAAGACAAAGATGACCGCACTTCGTCGTCCTGACGGAACCATAACTGCTTCCCGAAGATCAATGGAGAAGGTCATCCACGACTTCTACTCGGATTTGCGAGCCAGTCCACCTTCCACCCTGCCATCTCAAGGAGGACGAGTATGTCGCACCGTCTGTTCTTCCTTCCGAGATTCATCATGCTATCATGTCGATGAAAAACCGTACAGCACCCGGTCCCGACAGGATTAAGCCAGAACATCCGAAGAATCTTTCGCCAGTTCTCATCAAGACTTTGGCAAGGCTCTTCACGCGGTACCTGACGGAAGGCAAGGTTCCAAGGCAATGGAAGACCAGCAAAACCGTGTTGCTGTACAAGAAGGGAGATCCCTGCGACATCGGCAATTATCGCCCTATCTGCTTGTTGTCTGTAGTCTACAAACTCTTTACGCGAGTCATTCTCAACAGGATCGGAAGAGAGTTGGACGAAGGACAACCATGCGAGCAAGCTGGATTTCGAAGAGGATTCAGCACGATCGACCACATACACAC